ACACCGAGTTTCAATAGAATTTTTAAATAAACAGCGGGGTGCACATTGTTTCGGTGGTGAAAGAAAAGCAATTCGTGCAGTTCACTGGCGACAGCTCACGCGTATCATTTTCCGGAAAGAAGAGCTATTCGAGCCACTTGTGAACGGCGAATAACGCGAATGCCAGCGATGCTGCGTTGATAATTGATCGAATACGCGTCTCCCTGGCGTCTGATGTCCCCCCCCCCGGCTAGAAGTGGATCTAGGTTCGTTGCTTGAGCCAGAAGACACTGAGGAACAAGATATTTGAAATTTATGAGATTATCTCGAAGAATCATAAGGGTAGGCGTAGAAGGCGATATGAGCAAAGACGAAGATGATGATAAACGTCAATGATGATGGTAATGATGATGATGACAAGGAAGAATGAGAAAATTGCAATGGCCCTCATAGACCTCTAGAAGCAAGAGGACAGTGCTACACTACCATAATCCCCGGTGTAGTAATATGTATAGTCACTCACTAAGTCAGTTTGATACGAAGCAACGGTAGTTGGCGCAAACTAGAATGTAAAAAAAGATTACAATGACGTGATAACGACCATGATGATGATGGTGACTGCAGTGATGATTAATGGTCATTGGAATGAGAACGACCAAGATTATGAAGGTTAATAGAAGAAGAGTATGAAGAATAAACAGGACTAGTTGAAAAGATAGAGGAAGGAAAAGAAGATACGGAAAAAGGTACGTTAACGCAGTTGTCATTGACACAATATTGACATTCCATCACGTAATATTTTCTGTTAAAATTAACAGAAAAAGTCTAGGTACAAAACCAACAATTTCCAACATTCTCACGTGATGAACCGACGCTATGAACAATAAGTACTCATTCTGCTAATCCAGTATTCTTTCGAAAACTAGACGAAAATTTGGCCTTGAGATGTAATTCTTTGCTTGCTCTTTCACTGACCATCATCCGCTTATGGAGTGAACGGCCAGTGTGTCTCTCCTCGTTGTATTTTCCTCTGGTCTTCTACAGCTCTGTAGGCACAAATGATGCGCAGGTGCTTGTTTTATCGTCTGGTAATCCATGATCCTTCTTATGCTTATTTACTTTTCAGTCCAGATTCGTAGAATGTGGCTTTCTTTGCAGCACTGCACAAACTTCAATCAACAACGGCAACGCTGAGGCGACGGCCAAGCTTAAAAGTAATTCAGTAAAGCCAAAGTATTATCAGCTGAGATGAACCGCAAATCAGTTTCGGTTCGTACTTATATGAACGAATTATCACTCTGGACGGTAATATCTACATATCTGTGACAAAATGTAAAACAAGGGATTAACCGTGTGTTTTCTAGAGCAACTTTGCCTCTTCCACTAAGGGATTACGTGGACATCCGGTAATAGCAGAATAGGTCATATGCGCACGAATCAGCGGGTATTTCCTGATTAACACCCTCTTTTCACTAGTTACATGAACTAGTGAAAAAATGACCAAAGCAGACGATGATTTCAGTAATTTCGCCAAAGTTTGCACGTTCTCCTAGTTAACTTTGTATTAAGGGCATCAGAAGGACAATCAGTCCATAACTGCCATAGCCCTGTCAGTCAGCTAGTTTCTAAGGCTGATGAAAATACCCTCTGCGTGCTGCGTCCTAGAGGCGATCACCTAAATTGGTCACTGGTCGTGACGGGGGCAACGGTGGGCTGGGTTCAAGGAGAGGGTGAGTTTCACGTTTGAGTGCGAGTTTAGTTTTGACCACTGACCTCTGACTGACCACATTCCCGCGGCAGAGTTTGTTCCCGCTGCAAGCGACCAGCCGTTCGCCGGACCGGAGTCGATCCGGATCGGTCGCTACAGTCAAACCGCAATTTCGCAATCTATCGTAACCGGCTGTTAATGAACGTAATTAATTGCGATAGCGGGCTGTCATTGCGGTGTCCACCCGTAAAGGAAGTAATCAAGGTCATCGGCAAATAGGCACGACGACCAAAGCAGGACAGCTCCACGTGGACAAGCCGACAAAGGCGACGGCCATATATTACGGTTAACAGTGGTTGAGCTGCGCTGATGACGTCACTAATCGACCCTGGAGAGACAATTAGCTGCGCCGGATTTCTTATTAGCGACATGATTGGCACATGCGCTCTGCGCTGTGGAATTTGACAGCATCGTCAACGTTCAATTAAAGGCATGGGCGGCGGTGTTCGCCCGTTCGACCGAGAGCCGTCGTTGGTTTAATCGCTTCGATGACGAAGGCTCCTGAATATGGGTTGGAAGATTACAGTGAAGAACTGCGGGTCACGCAACGTCACAAGAGCAGTAAACCTCCGGAGTCACAGCTGAGGTAGAAACTCGATTCCTATAAACCGCTCCTTCTCCAGGTCGACACATCATAACCACGGTGTAATGAATAGGCCGTCAGGATGACGTAAGAAAAATTGGCATGACAGATTTTTGGTTAAGGCATCCCGCGTTGCTGAATACGAATACCACATGGTCAATTTGTTTGGACACGTAGTTTAGCATTTGCGACAGCACTTGTAAAGGAAGACCAGGACCATTTGCAAAGGTCGTGTTGCACATATGACCCGAAAAACTGAGACGCTTCGAAAACGAATGAACAGAAAATTCATACGCGAGTCATCATCGATTCATGTAACAGCTTTGAAACGGTTTAGCACTACGCAAAATTAAAAAAATTAAAGAGAGTTTACAATTGAACGGTGTTCCAGGCTCTTCTTCAGCACCGAGTTATTCGTGATGAGGAAGAATAGTGAAATACGACTCGAAACCATCAAGATATAGTTATTATAACCATCAGGTTATAGTTTAGTATA